TCCAGTTGATCCGTGGTGCCCTACAGTAAAAATGCGTTATTTTTTTACGGGACAAAATAAGAAAAAAAGATTACCTGCCAACCATCTGGCTTGAAAAATGTGAAAGTACGGAATTCATTGACATCGACAGCTGATGGACCAAGATACACAACGACGCTGCACATGAAATGCCCCAGGAATGTTAAAGCTCTAATATTAGTAGCAATTTTAAACAAAGACAAAAAATTCTAACTCAGAATGTCTAAGATGATGGAATTTTGGATTTGGACAAAATGAGCACTCAGTTCAAATTTCCAAGGCTGTGCTCAAGATTTCTCAAAGCACTCAAAACAGGCCCTTAATTCACAAACGACAGTTTTCAACATAATTGACAAAAATTATTTAGTGATTAAAACAAAAATTACTTAGTGAGACGATGAGAGAGGTGAGGAGGGAGGCGAGGAGGGGGAGGGGGGAGGAGCAGAGGCAGGATGTGGGGGGAGAGGAGGGAGAGCAGAGGGAGTAACTTTATGATACAACAAAGCAGCCTGTCAATAAAAAGTGCCTTTATACTAAGCTGTATCTTGTCCTACCAGGTCTTTATTTCTCGATTGGTTAAAAAATACATCGTATAGTATGAGCAGCGCTAGACTTAAGCAAATTAGGCTAATAGAAAATAATAGAAGCCTTCCGAAAGCAGCATGTCCGGCATTTTTTTTTGTTTTAGGCTTATAGTAAAAAAAGTAAAGGAATTACTCTTGTGGGGTATGCTGTTCATCGAGTTCGTAGTCCAAATATAAAAGAAGAAATAAAAAGTCTTCTTTTTTCGGGAACTCTATCGTGATCACGTGAGGCGTTTCGCCGTCCGATCGCCAATAGTGGTCAATATTTTCGTCCAATAAATGATGGACGTCATGACCTTTTGCCACTAAATGATAAGTTAAATTGCGGCTAAAACTGGCTGCAGAAACCGGACAAAAACTGGAAAGTTGTTCAGACTAGTGGTATTATTTTGCGAATGAACGAAAGAATGTGCCAGTGAATCTGGACATTTGAAATGATGCCCAAATCCCGAGCAGGCGAGGTCCAGTAAAAAAAAGCTTGCCCTCCCCCCCCCTCTTGCCTGCAGTTTCAAAAACGCATAAAAACATCCATGAATTGAAAGATACAAACTTGAAACAGCAGGCTACCAT